AAAAAATCAAGCATTACTTACCATCAATTTCATCGCAAATTTCCAACGTTAACAAATCATTCACGAAGATCTCCTGGTAAAGTTTTTTAAGCTTACGTTTTGCGCTTATTTTCGGCATATCTTTTTCTTTATATGAATCAAAATAGCAAACTATATAGATAGCAAAATATATGAATCAAAATAGCGGTGGATGATATACATACATCGATGTTTTATAAATACTCGATGTATTGTGTCTGTGCATTGATGTATTTTGAAAGCTTCGAAATTTTCGAAGTATCGATGTTTTTAAGCTACCCTGAAGTCATGATTCAATAATTAAAGGTTTGCTCATTATTGACATTAGAGTTTTGACACTCCCTTAGCTCCCTTACAAACGCTTTGCACGCACACACGAACCCACATATAGTGCTTTGCTAAGGGAGCCGATTTTGTCAAGAGGGAGCGAGAAAACTGCTTTTTGAGCAAACCTTGCCCTGAAGTTAGTTGCAGCTTTTTCACAGATATCCCATTGAAAATTATGCCAAAAAGCTACCATTGTATTAAAAAAAACATTACATGCCTTAAAAAACATGGATTTATATACTAAAATATCGATTGAACATCGATGTCACCATATGATGCATTTTATCGAAAAAACATCGATGTACTTCCTTGATGCCCATCCCAAAACAGCTGACTTATAAAGTGTAAACCAAGGCGAATTCATATAAGGTGGTATCGATTCAACAAATACAACAATTACCTGTATTTTGTTTTTGCTTTTAGCTGGTGATTGTCAAATTTCAGCTATTCTTCTCCGAATGAAAAAGGGCGACAGAAAATTCAAACACTCACGTTTTCACTCACTCACTAGCAAAATATAAAATGTTGACAATCAAACGCTACACACAGCTGATTAAACAACACCACCTTATATAAATTCGCCTTGGTGTAAACGTAAAGAGAGTATGGGGCGTTCATGTAACGCAGTGCTTAAACTTATAAGATTATCTGATTGATAAAGTTATCGGTTTAGATGAATACCACTAATTATTGTTCAAATCGTTTAACTTTTGTATAGAAATTTTGCAGAATTGTATTAAAACTGAATTTTCGTGAACCACTATAACTGAATTGGAACTGTAAATATAAATCAAAAGAAAGGTAAACCGATTACCTTTCTTTTGATTATAATATTCTTAAAATCTCTTAACTTTTTCATAGAAATTTTGCAACTTTTGAAAACATCCTTATGTATGCAGTGAAAAAGTCGTCAAATTAAGCAAAGTTGTAATAAAACGGAATTTTTGGGAACCACTATAAATGATTTGCAACTGTTGATATATATCAAAAGAAGGGTACATCGATAAACTTTCTTTTGATCATAATATTGTTAGAATCGCTTAACTTTTTTATAGAAATATTGCAACTGTTATGTTAATTATAATTTTTATTCATAGTATTGATTACTAACTATGTATATTAGGTTAACAATGCATTTTGAAAAATAAATTTTGCAACATAAAAATCAAAAAAA